GTAAGTTACCATTCCCTACATCAGTAAGTTACCGTTCCCTACATCAGTAAGTTACCATTCCCTACATTAGTAAGTTACCGTTCCGTACATCAGATGGAAAATCGCAAGAAATCCAAGTTACCGTTCCCTACATCGGTAAGTTACCATTCCCTACATCAGTAAGTTACCGTTCCCTATATCAGATGGAACATCCCGAGAAATCCAAGTTACCGTTCCCTACATCAGTAAGTTAGCATTCCCTACATCAGTAAGTTACCGTTCCCTACATCCAAGTTACCGTTCCCTACATCAGTAAGTTAGCGTTCCCTGCATCCAAGTTACAAAGGTAAGGTTGTCATCGTATGATGATTCAAATTTCTTGAGGATCATTGCTGCATTTATCCTTGCAGCTTGGTCTTTTTTTTTTTCTTTTTTTTTTTTGTTGCAAAAAAGGCCCAGTGCCCAAGGCTCCAATTATGAAATTGATTACACGTGCAGTTGGCTGTCATGTAATTTGGAATGTACGGAACCGACAAATTTTTGATAACCATGAAATGTCGAATAAGGAAATCAGGAGGCTGTTCAAATCTTCCCTGCGTCGCATTATTCATGCGGACTGGAGAAGGAAGGGCAGGAGCAACTCCTCGCGTTGGTTTGGTGATACGTGGGGTTTGGCAGGGAAGTTGGCGACACTGGTGGACGGGAAATTGGTGTTGGACAAATGGTTTCTGGACCAAGCTTGAGGAGTTTTGCTCTGTAGAGGTTGGTTCGTTGGGCGTGAACTGCTAAGCTATACCTGGGCACTCGGTTGTATCTCCGCAGGAGGAGGGCAGGGGGATAGGATTAGCAGAGGGAGTACCATGCGGCTACTAGGTCCCGCTTCGGGCCCACCTGTCGTTTTAGACAGGGTTTCAATAGTTGATAGGATGGTGTGGGTAGGTTGGTAGTTTGTTTTCTGAATTGTTTGGTTTTTCAGGCTTGTGCGGCTTTATTGGGAGTGAGGTTTCAGGACAGCAGTCTAGGTTTGGCTATTTCTGTACCTAGATATTCTTCATTCCTGTTTTCCGGGTTGAATTGTAAGGTCCCCGGCCTCCTTTATTTGAGCTATAATGAAATGCCCTATACGGGCTATTTGAGGGAAAATAAAATAAAATGATTACAACACTTATACACACGCCTCAGCTTGGTCATTTCTAAATTCTAATAGATAGAATAAACAAACTGAAGACGTCGACAAGTCCTGAGACCGGTAGTAAAGCGGCTATGGGTGCCGACAGAGCGTAAAAAGCGACAGATTTCATTGAAAGAGAGCATATAACAGGCAGGCAAGTGCAGGACTCGAACATTTCCCCATTGGTATGCCGATAATTTGGCGAATAAACGACGTGGATGCACAGGAGTATGTATGACCGAAGATCGAATCGCACATTTAAAAAAAAAAAAAAAAAAAAAAAAAAGATTTGGTCAAATTTTATGGTTACCCTTCCCTTCTCTTCTGACCCGTTGCGTGGAAAGTGGCACCCCCTTCCCTTGTCTGTTCACCCGGACTGCTTTATTCCCACAACCTGAGTGAAAATAGCAGATCCTGATCCAATCCAGTGCTCTTAGGACCGACTTCTGCGGCCATTTTGTAATCATTTCTTTTCTATCTTAGCTGCCTAGCCGACCGAGGTCAGTAAGCCAATAGCAGTTTTTTTCCATCCCCCTATTGTGCAAGGAGACGATCCTCGGTTTCAAAAGATTAGTGCCTTTTAGATTGAAGCTGGAAGATCTTGGGAGATTCCATAGCAAAATTTTCACTCCACTCCCGATCAGTCTCCAGGCCCGTACACTAGGCTCCAAGAATGAGGGAGATGTGGGACGCCATCGCCAAGTCTCTTTCCGCTTGGGTATCCCGTACCAACAGCCTACTTTCCCTTTCTTTTTTTTTTTTTCTTTTTTTTTTCCCTTTCGGATTCCAGCGACCAATTCTTTTTCTTGTTTTTTT